AATGCATAGCTAGATTCCTATTGGCTATTTCACTTTGCAAAAGCCAATAGCAAACTAGCTATTGCACCCGCCCTCTGATGCCGCCAATCAGCAGAGGGGGACCTGAAGTTCTCCATCAGGTCCCCTTCTAGTGATTGACAGCAGCAGAGGGCGGGTGCAATATGTATGTATTCAAGCAAAAAAATATGTAAAACACACCTCTAGCTATGCATTCAATTTTCCCGGTCCGCAGCTGCAGAGATCGGGAAATGTCTCAGTGGCTGTGATTGGCGCTGTCAGCTTCCTGGCGGGCTCGGCGGTGGAGCTGCGAACACGCCTGAGCCCATCCCTATCAGTGACAGTACTGCGGAGTATGTACCTCATACTTTAAATCCAATTCTTCTAGTTCCAGCTGCAGAGCCCGGTCCTGTCTTTGCCTATAGCAGTGGTGCTCAACCTGTGGGGTCGCTGTGCAAGGTGAGAGTCCTCCTCAGCTCTCTCCTAGCGCAGCAGTGTCAGTTCTCCTGCCACGCCTCCAGATGTCGCTGCAGCAGCCGCGTCATCCCTAAATTTTACCTTTGGGGGTCACCACAACTTGGCAAATGTTACCAAGGGGTCCCGACCCTAGAAAGGTTGAGAACCACTGATATAGGGGAATATAGGTAGAGAGGCAGAGAATTGTTGTGTACAACCAATACACTTTTTTTGTGTTTTTATTTAAAACAGAATGCAGTATTTTTATATTTCCGTGTATGAATGTATTCTCGGATACCTTAAAAGTCCAGTATTTTGTTTCCATTTATTCTTTGCAGTTATAGACTAAGATGTGGTAACTTCCAAATAGTTGTTTCATTCTACTTCCAATAATCTCTTTAAGAAACAATCAGCGCTAACGTAGATGAGAAGTACAACGTTTATTCTATTAATTTGTCTCATTGATAATGACACTAACATTTAGGATTCTAGCACAAAGCATTGCAAAGTTATTTCCAGTTTCTTAGTTTTTTTCAAATTTGTGTATTTTGTAAAGTGACTAAAAAAATAAATAAATACAATGAACAAAAAGAAAATAGAAATAAAAAAACACCCAAGAAATTAATAGTTAAGGTAGAGAGAGTGAAAGGTAGAGAGGGCTGATTAACGAGGGGTTAATAATGGGTTATCTTATTAAAGTGTAATAACCAGTGGCGGAACTATCACCATAGCGACGCTATGGGGCCCGCAGCACTGGGGGGGCCCGGATCCCAGCTGCTCTCCCCTGCTTGTATGGGCTGAGGCAGCGGGGATCCGAAAAAAAATGGACGGCGGAGGAGCCGCTGCCGTTCTGAAACTGACATGAGGACAGCGGCTCCACTCTCCTCCCCGTCTGCCGCTCGATCATCAGGCAGGCGGGGAGGAGATCGGAGCCGCTGTCGTCCTGTCAGTTTCAGGATGACAGCGGCTGTGTGCGTGGCCGAGCGGAGGATCGGTAAGTATCGTTGATACTTACCGATCCTCCGTGTGAGAAGGACAAACACTGGAGCGATCGTCTGATCACTCCAGTGTTTGTAAATAACTGGGGACACATAGTACTATGTGTCCCCAGTTATGAATGAACAGGAGGTGATTTACATCACTTCCTGTTCATTCATGAATTTCTCAATGGGGAGAAGCAGTCAGTACAGAGGATCCTCCTCATTGAGAATCTGCTTGATAGTAAATATCTTACTATCAGCAGTTTTGTGAATGAATGGGAAGCCTCTGTACTCCTGAGAGCTTCCCATTCACTGAGTGCTGAGGCTGCAGAAAAAGACATTGAGGACTCTGTGTCCTCAATGTCTTTTTCTATTGCAAAAGGGAAGTGTCAGGGGTCTGTTTAGACCCCTAATATTTCCCAGAAGCCCCCCAACAGTAAAATAATAATAAATAATAATAAAAAAATAAATTAAAAATGTGTAAATTTAAAAAAAGCACCCCCCCACACACACACATAACATACACGTGCACCATATTGTGGTGTACGCCAGGCACATGCGCTGCAGTGCGTTGTTAGAACGCATCATAGTGCATGATTTTTTCCTTTGTAAAAAAACATTCATTTAACTGTGGCAGCGCATGGCAAAGCTTTGTGACGCATTGCCGTGCGTTGTGATACCTTGTGTTGTAATTAAATATACCCCTGTATCATTTTATAACACAAATACCAACACAGCGCAAAAACCATTTATAACATAAATCGTTTATTTACAGTTTAGCGTTCCTTCATTTTTTTTATAATCCCCCTTTCCTCAGCCTCTCATTGGTGTGGCAGTATTAAAGTAAAGTGTTAGGCCTCATTCAGGCGCCATTCACACCAGGGTGGAAGCGTTTCATCGTGGTTTCCACACAGTTTTTGAAAGAGCATTTTTGGCTGTTTTTAGTCGCATTTCAGTGCTGAAACGCAATTAAAAACGCTCAAAAACGTGCTGATCAGCGTATTTCTATTAAAATGGGGGCGGGGGGTTTCGTTGAGGGGGGGGGGACTTCCAAAATTTTGCTATGGGGCCCTGGGATTTCTAGTTATGCCCCTGGTAAGAACCCAACATCTCTGGAAGTAAAAAAAAACAAACCTTTGTCATAGAGGTTTCACTGGACATGCCCAAATACGTATTCCACCGCCTCTTAGAAACTGTACATCTACTCCTTCAATCAGCTCTAGCCTTGGGCTCGATGTGCAAGGCTTTAGACTTGATTGGCTAAAGCCTTGCACCTGACTTTGCCCAACTAGAGCAGGGAGAACTGTGAAGCCATTATTGGGGAAAGTCATGATGACTCTGCCCAATCATGGCTCACCTGTCATGGCTAGCTGTCACTGCTAGCCCCGCCCAAATGTTTATCTGTTACCGGAATTTGTCAATGTGTTCGTCGCCAGTGAACGGGACGGCGGTCGTCGGGTTTTTTTTGTTTTTTAATCATTATTTATATTTATTTTGTATTGTTTTATTTTTTATTTTGTCGAGTCGTCGTCGTTGAGGACAACGCTGGACGTCGTGATTGACCCTGGATTGCATCGGTGGATCAATTTTTGGGGGTTTTTGTTTTCTAACGATAAAGGATTTGTTGTAGTTTTATTTTTCAATTAAAGGATTTTTTTACAAAAGACTGTTTTTTTAATTTTAATTTGATTTAACCCTTTAGTGAATGTGTAGGGGTACAAGTACCTATACTCATTCACAAGGGGGGGGGGGCGTATCTGGGTACCCCTTTACTAAAGGGATACCCTGATGTGAATAAGTTCCCTGCCCGCGCCCCCACTACCAACGCCCCAGTGCTTGTGGGGAAGAGGCCCTTGTCCCCACCGGAACGGGGACAAGGTACTTTTCCAGGGGCGACCCTGGAAAAGCACCCTCCAAGTGCCGAGGGCATGTGGCCTGGTATGCGAGGGAGGGGGGGGCGCTCGCTCACTACCCCCCTTTCTGGCCCTGCCAGGCCTATGCTCGGATCAAGGGTCTGGTATGGAATTATAGGGGGGACCCCACGTTATATACTCATTCACAAGGGGGGGGGGGCGTATCTGGGTACCCCTTTACTAAAGGGATACCCTGATGTGAATAAGTTCCCTGCCCGCGCCCCCACTACCAACGCCCCAGTGCTTGTGGGGAAGAGGCCCTTGTCCCCACCGGAACGGGGACAAGGTACTTTTCCAGGGGCGACCCTGGAAAAGCACCCTCCAAGTGCCGAGGGCATGTGGCCTGGTATGCGAGGGAGGGGGGGGCGCTCGCTCACTACCCCCCTTTCTGGCCCTGCCAGGCCTATGCTCGGATCAAGGGTCTGGTATGGAATTATAGGGGGGACCCCACGTTTCCAACCCATGGGGTTCCTACTTAAAATTCCTACCAGACCTTAAGGGTCCGGAATGACTTTGAGGGGGAACCCCGCACACATTTTTTTGTTTATTTTACACGGGGTCCCTCCTAAATATTCCTACCAGACCTTAAGGGTCTGATATGACTTTTGGGGTGAAACCCACGCTTTTTTTTTGTTTTAAATGGGGTCCCTCCTAACATTCCTACCAGACCTAAAGGGTCTAGTATTGTTTGGCAGAGGGAACCGCACGCTTTAAAAAAAAAAGTAATTTTTTTTCTTTATAAATGTCAATTTTGCTGCAGCAGGTTCTATACATCGTACAGATCTGCCACTTCACAGGCAGGTTAAGGGGACCCGGGCATGATTTTATTGTTACCCCTTTTATTGTTAAAATCACTGCTCCTTTTAAAAAGTTGTTTTTTCCATTGATTCCTGTCCCCCAGGGCTCCTCTGTCCTTGCTGGCACTTCCTGTCCCATGGTGTCTGCATGCGGGTGCACGAGTCCATATACTTACCTTGTGTCTCTCCTCCTATCCCGGCCGAAAATGTGAACTGCGCATGCGCCCGCCCCAAGATGCTTTGCAGCCGCCCGAGGATCTTCAAATTTTCAGACGGGAGCGCGAGGGGAAGACACAGGGGAGTATTAACCTCTGTTAAAGTTTTTTTTTTACACTTTTTGCATAGATCTACTGCTTGCTAGCAGTAGATCTATGCAAAAAACAGAGGGTTTAATTATCCTTTAAGAACAGGTATACCTAAAACAAAGTTATCTTCATGTAATATAACTGCCAAGAAGATGAATAAATGTTTAGATAAAAGCTCCCACGCCTGTACAGAAACTGAAATTTATGTCACTTTCAGTCGCTCACTGTGCGTTGGCTTCCACTTTTAGGCTTGCAGTTGACTCGTGGCATTGTTTCTGTCTATGGGATTACAAAACAGGAAGTCAGCTGTGTTTTGGAAATCACTTCCCACTTCACTACTTTCATTTAAAACAACTTCATATCTCATATGTACAAATGTTATCCATACTGTATATCCTTCAATCTTATTGGAAATATTTTAATATAAAGGCCATTAAAAGAACATTGTTGTCTAACATCAGTTTTTACCAACACCGCTTTATTAAATAACCCTTTACATCGTCAGTGTGCTACAAATGGGGGCAGAGATTGTTTCAGGTGAAGTCATATAGGAGGAAATAAATTATGTAACACCAGTTAATCCATCTTCAAGTGTCTCTTCCTTGCTGACCATGTTGTGCTCGTTGGGTTGCTTAACTTTAGGCTTGCAGCAAAATTTGCAGTATCTTTTGCAGAGCGTCCTCCACAGTTCAGTGTACTGGTGGTGGCAAAGTCCCAGGATCACAGGGACGATAGTGGCGCTTCCGCTTCCCAAGCACGTGAGCGTGGGGAGAATCGAGAAGCTGATGTCATAGTTCTCTATGGCCAACACCGAGACCTGGAGGAGAGCAATGTAGGGAACCCAACAGATGAGGAACGTCAGGGAGAAGATGGCGATGCATTTGGCATACCTTAGGTCCATCTGGTGCTCTAGCTCCGTGGCTGCCTCCCGCTGGACGGACCGGTGAAGCTTCTTAATCTCCTTCAGCTGTCTCCTGGCCACGGAAAGAAGTTTGACGGTGATGAAGCTCATGGCCAGGATGGAAGGGATGACAAGACCATAGGTCTCCAGATAAATGTAGGCATGAGGGAACACTTGCTTGTAGGAGCAGGATAGACTGCTGTTCCAGTTATTCCAACCCAATATGGGCAGGCTGGCGAACAACAGTGGCAACGTCCACACCATAACCAAAAAGAAGGGCACGCAACGGTGGACCAAAAAGTTCCGGTAGTGCAAGGGGTATATAATGCACAAGTACTTCTCATAATGAACCATCAGCAAGTTGGCCAGAAATGAGAGGAAGAAATAATTTGGAGATATGAAGGCAAGGAGACACCAGTGATAGCCAAGATTCTTATCAAACCTCATGCGGGGCATGCAGGGCAAGAAGACCCCCGTGAAGAAGTCCGCGAACAGCAGGCTGAGGAAGAAGTAGTTGGCCGTGTTGTGCAACTTTTTGTTGAACACGATTCCGATGATGATGAAGAGGTTGGAGAGGATGATGAAGGCAGACAGAGGGTTGGTGAGCCATAAGATCAGTTTTTCTTGGGTTATATAGTTCGAAGGATTCACAGAGTCCGAAGAGTTCACAGCTTCAACCATCTCTATATTTCAGGGGGTCAGTGACTTGAACATGTCCTTGACAACGTTTCTCTTAAAACATCTTTCTGAGGATCACGAGAGGGACACCGATATTCACTCCAACAATTCATTTTCTGAGCAGGTAGTCTGAAAGGAAAAAAGGTAAATTAACATGGAGTCACAAACCCTGATGTTTTCAGGCAGAACAAAATTCCAAACTTCATTGACTGACAAATATTTTGAAAACCTGGTGGATTTCAGTAAGCATGTCCACATTCAAAGCTCAACTCCAGGCCAGCAGCTAAATACAAATATTGGAGCTGTTTACCTACCTACCAAAGGATTTGTATTTCTGTACGTCCACTTCTGAGGCAGGCAGGGGACCTACGTTTTCTCTGCTGCAGTTGAGTAACATGGATAGGTCACCGACCCACCCGAGCCTCTGATTTTCTAGTATAGGAGAAGCACCAGTCTGATGGTGTCATCTCTCTGCTCTCTCATCCGGCTATCATGATTGGTTGCAATTGCTGCCCCCTCCCTTTCCCAGCCCCATGATTGGATTGATTTATTTTTAATATCTGCCTGGAGTTCAGCTTCTCTTACCTCTCAACAACGGCAGGGAGCATGCAGGTTGACCTTATCACTCAACTGTTGCATATTCTGGCACCCCAGAACCATGACTGAGGTGTCGCTGACAGCTCACGGTCAACTACCAACGATCGGGAGCTAGTAGGACAGGCTCCCAATTTGCCAATCAGAGTTAACTGATGAATGAGAGCCCCTCCTACAGGGCTCCATCACAGCCCATTTAAAGGGCCAGCTGCTGCTGGTGGCAAGGGATTAAAGATGGTATTCCTACATACCGGTACTAGTATTTCTTAACTTCATTATAAGATCAGCCACCTCAATGATGAAGAAGTAAAAATGACTACCTTCCCTGCTCCTCCGCCACCCCAACCTATCCCAATCCACACAATTATTTTCTCTCCTTATGCTCTTTCTACCTTTACATAATATATAATTATTATTATTATTTCTTATTGTAAGAACCTAA